AGGATTTTGAATATATAATATAAAGCTAAAATTATTTGATGTATTTAAATTCCCAATTTTTTTTAAGTCTAAGTTACTCAATTAAGCCCTATTAGAGCCTCTCCAGCGCAACGCTAGATGAGGCGTTTTGCGCTGGAGTAGAGATGAAATATGCTTCAATGCTGCGCCAGAATTTAACGCCAGATGAGAGGAATGAATAGTGTTGCGCCATATTCATCGACGCTACAAATTTTTTATTTTGTTTATACTCTAAACCATATATGGTCTAGACCATATATGTTTAAATTATGTTAAATAAAAATAAATAAAATATATTTTTATTATTTGAGTAATTAACATTTAATATAAGATTAAATATACATATATATCAATTTATTTGAAATAAAAAATGAATAAAAAATAATATATTCAATGCAGAGTAAAATGTAGAGATAAGGGCTGGAGATGAATGTTCAACTCTACTCTAGAGTAGAGTAAAGTCCGCGCTAGAGTAGAGATAAGGGCTGGAGATGGCCTTAGGTGCATTTGTATGATACATCTTCACAATTGTAATTGTAGTTTTTTCTTAATTAAAAGTAAATAAAAATTCCCTCATAAAATTACAAAAGTCCAAACTTCAAAGTGGAAGAAACTAGAAAGAGAAGTAGGAGGGCCACAATGCCAATACAGACAAGCCCAAGGGCATCACATGTTAATATAAATAGAAAAAGGCTCGAAATTATTGCACATTTGCCCCCACAATCCTATCTTTTGCCACTATAAAGCAAGCACACTATCACCTTCTCCACTGTCTACGCCACAATCACTACCTCACCGGAAAAAAAAAACAACTCAGAGCTAGAGAGAGAGAAGAGAGCGAGAGAGAGAGACCTAGGAAAAATGGAGGGGAAAGAGGAGGACGTTAGGCTTGGAGCGAACAAATTCTCCGAGCGACAGCCACTGGGGACCTCGGCCCAGACCAAGGACTACAAGGAGGCGCCTCCGGCGCCGCTGTTCGAGCCCGGCGAGCTGCAGTCATGGTCGTTCTGGAGGGCCGGCATAGCAGAGTTCATGGCCACTTTCCTGTTCCTCTACATCACGATCTTGACGGTGATGGGGCTCTCAAGGTCCGGGAGCAAGTGCTCGACGGTTGGGATTCAGGGGGTTGCTTGGGCTTTTGGTGGGATGATTTTTGCCCTTGTTTACTGCACTGCTGGGATTTCCGGTAAGAATTTCCTGTCTATAGCTCAGTGTTATTTTGTGAGTGTGTGTGTATGTGTGTGTGTGTTGTGTATGGTACTACTGCTGGAATTTCTGTTAAATTTTTTCTGTCCATAGATCTGTGTAATTTGTAACGTTGTTTGTGTATACACGTTTGTATGTGTTACTGTAAGGGAATCTTGTGAATGCTGTGGTGTTGCTGCTGATATTAGGGTGTTTGTTGAAGTTTGAGCTGCACCTTTGTTTCATCTACCTGAAGTTTCTTCTTTATCCTTTTTCCTTTTGTGAAGTTCATTCTTCTTCTAAAAGCATGTACCATTTGTTATATGAAAAAATGACCTTAAAGTTTCTACTCTGACCATTGGGTATAATCTTCCAAGAGTTTAATTAAAGGTTACCCATGAGAGATCCGTTCTAATTACCGCAACAATACTCAATGACAGTTTGATTCTGTTTTTACAAACTCCAGCCTCAAGGACTTGCTTACTATACCACCATAAAAACCTCAACAAGGGTAGTTGTTATAATTATAATGCTAAGAAAATTTTCGAGAAGTTTTTGTTTCAATGAAAGGTGTTGGGCCTCGAGTTCTAAACTGAAGATTTTCTTGTTTTACTGGCTTTAAACTCCCATTAACTTGTCATGCTACATCCAAAAGATTCAATATAGTTAGAGAAAAACTGAAGGCAAATGCGATTTCCTTTCTACCTTGTTTCTGGTTTCAGTATTGTTCTCCTGGAAGTAATTCATGTACTAAGCTATAAATGGTTTGAATGTTTTTGTTCCTTTCCTGCAGGTGGGCACATAAATCCTGCTGTGACATTCGGTCTTTTCCTTGCAAGGAAACTGTCTCTTACTCGGGCGGTTTTCTACATTGTGATGCAATGCCTTGGTGCCATCTGTGGTGCTGGTGTTGTCAAGGGCTTCCAGCCTTCTTTCTACCAGGCTAATGGTGGAGGTGCCAACACTGTTGCCCATGGCTACACCAAGGGTAGCGGCCTTGGTGCTGAGATTATCGGCACTTTTGTCCTTGTCTACACCGTCTTCTCAGCTACCGATGCCAAGAGAAATGCCCGAGACTCTCATGTCCCTGTAAGTTACTTAGTGTATCTCGATTTTCATGCCTTAATGATGTAACCGGTGCTTGCAAACTACTTAGAGCTGTTTTAATGGCCCAAACTTTGGTAGACTTGGTGACCGATATCGAGATTATAGGATTTCTTGAAGTAGTAATGGTGTGATAACAACTAAATTCTACCTTGCTGGAGATCCTATTATTTTTTTTTTTGGAATTTCTTGTGGTATTCTGTATCTAACTCTGTTGGTTAACAACTAAATTCTACCTAGAGCTTTTTTTTTATAGGATTTCTTGTGAATTGATATATCAATCCATATAACTTATCTATTTGTGGTATTCTGTATCTAACTCTGTAGGTTTTTACGTGTACAGTGAACTCATTTAAGCTTTGTGCATATTTTGGTGACTTTCAAGCGTTGACAGAATTTACCAATTATAAATGTCGAATTTGAGCGTCCACACGGATTCTTACACTGCATTTACCAGTGTGCTAACATTTTCTGTAATCTGTAAAAATTGCAGCTTTTGGCTCCCCTTCCCATTGGATTTGCTGTTTTTCTGGTTCACTTGGCCACCATCCCCATTACCGGCACCGGCATCAACCCTGCCCGCAGCCTTGGTGCTGCTATCATATTCAACAGAGATCACGCATGGGATGACCACGTAAGCTCATGTCTATACATCCATTTTAATAAATAATCAAGAAAAAAACTATCCACAATTCCTATTTTCCTTATGATAATCCCAATTATCTTACTGCATCATCCCTATTATTCCTGTTTGCCCATAATTTGGAGAACAAGAGAAAAAAATGCGCAACTAAATTTAATCGTTTCTTGTGGGTTTTATTGCAGTGGATATTTTGGGTTGGGCCTTTCATTGGAGCTGCACTTGCTGCTCTCTATCACCAGGTTATCATTAGGGCCATCCCTTTTAAGAGCAGCAACTAAATAGCGAGCAGAGGCGCGCGCCCATTCTTGTCGTGCTGTGGGAATTTGCTCGTGAAATGTGAAAAGAAGTTGTGATTTTCTTGCATGTGCTGTTATTTAATAATCTTAAGAGGATTTGTGTCTATTTTTAGCTACTTTTGTTGTGTTCTTCTGGTGTGTTTTAGCTTTTGTGTGGTGGGTATTGGAACACTATGCTGGCTGTGCTTGTAAAATGAGAGATTGGTATGAGTTTTGTGATTATTATCGTTTGGCCTTCATTTCAGAATGTTACTTTTTCTTACTGATAGCAATTAAACTACAGTTGTTTTGTGGATGATTACAACTCTAATGAAAAACCACTCACCCAACACATTTTGAGTAAAGTTGTTTTGCAGATGTGATGGTTGGGTTGACATTTCTATATATTCTCTTAAATTGAAATATTATGTTTTAACCTCTATCGTTTTATAGTTATGCATTTTTGTTAAAACAATACGACGAATAGACCATCGAACGGCTAGATTACCTCGTACACATGATACACTATTAATTTATCAAACATTATAATCCAAAATGTTGACAAATATGCATCTCAACTTCATCCATTATTGATTTATCAAACAATTAATCAAACTAGTGAAAAATATGTATCTCAAATTCCATACACAATAAATATTTTTCACCATTTTGATTAAATGTTTGATAAATTAATTGTTGTGAATGGAAGTTGATATGCATATTTATCACCACTTTGGATTAAAATGTTTGATAAAATTATTGTATTTTGTTTAACTGTGACTTCCATGCACGATTAAACAACACAAGCTCGTTTGTTTGTTAATAGATTGATGTTAAATTATGGGTTGAACTTTATATAGATGACGGACTAAATAAATATCATTAATTTGTTTGATAAAGCTTATTTGACCAGCTTTTATGGACTCAACATGCTAATTTGAAAAAGAGGCAAAACCTAATTAAGACGAGACCAGCACGTTTCTGAGATACGATACCATACGAATACGAATATGAATCGATTAATACGAATTGATTTTAATTTTTTTTTTTATTTTCAAAATATATGGTAGATCTAGCTAGTCTCAAAGTTTTACGATGAGGTCACTTTGGTAAATATCAATAGCTAATTCCATTTCCACCCCGCCAAAACCCCGGAATCTCAGCTTCCAATCCAAAACTCTTGCAAAATTTCCAGGGACATTATCGTACTTCCGATATCATGAAGATGATCCGACGTGTCACTATATGAGCCCCTCTCTCACAATTTCCCGCTTTTGCCCAACAAAAGATAATAAATAAATAAATAAATAAATAAAATATCTCATTCTGAGGCCTGTGCTGAAAACTTCGTTGAGCAACACCGGTTACCAGATAACATATCCACAGTAGAGCGAGACACGTTCGACAAAATCTTCTCTAGATCTGAAGATATGGAAACTTGAGCACACCACAAGCAGTTTTCCGGTGAAAATGGCAATCGGCGCTGTCGTTTCGCACCGGAATTTCGGCTCCTTCATCGGTTCAGGTAAAATCCTGCTGTCTATGGCGTTACTGTGGTTGCAGTAGTTTTTTCGTTGTTTGTTCGATTGTTTCTGCTCATGAGACTCTGTTTAAGCATTGTTTGCGGATAAGTGTCTTCAATTACGGTGAACATTTACTATATGAAATTCGATTGAGGCTTTAGTTGCATTGTGAACTGTTCGCTGCGTTAACAGATAATTCCATTCAGAAATGCGCTTGCAATGGTATTAACTAGCGTTGGTTAGTGCTTGATTGAGCTGGTATATCTGTTTGCAAGCTTTGTTCCAGTGATAGTAATTAGCATTGGACAGTGCTTGAGTGAGCTGGTATGTCGGTTTGCAAAGCTTTGTTATGGTGGATGTTGCAGACTATCCCACTATTGGTCTACGTGAGAGCATAGATACTTCGTGTGTTTGGGGAATAAAGAATGAGATGTAAATTTTGCTACAATTCAGAACAACATGCATTACTACAATAGTATTTACTGGCATGGAGGAAATGTCATTGAAGTTCGCATTTTCTTACCTTTTAGCTACAATTTGGTTGTGATACAAGGTATTCAAAATGTGTGCTGGCGTTCAACAATTTAAGGAATTATAAGGAAACATCTTAAAATCGATCAACTTAAACCATAGGAGTAATATCCTAAGTCTGTGAATTTTTAACATCTAACACTAAATTCTCACTTCATAAAATCGATCAACGGCCGTGGAAGTATGTGAATAAGATGTCGTAGGATTATAATAAACAAGCCTCCGCTTGGATAATTACTGTTGATCGTATTTTTTGATTGTGATAGTTGCATCCTCTTATTTTCTTGTGTTTACCAGGAAGACTATGTCATGGAGAAGCAAATGCAGAAAGTAAGAGAGGTGGGCGCTTGAAAGTTGCTGTTGCAAGGCATGTAAAATTGCATCATCATACATGTGGAAGCTTTTCCTCGGGCCATATGTATCATTCATCTCTTCATACTAGAGATCTACCAAACAAAGAGTTTTATCGATCCAGTTCAACAGATTATGTTAAATTAGATACTTCTATCTCAATGTGCTGTCAGCTCAGCAAAAAAATTAATAACGTTAATGCTAGGAGAAGAATTAGTGGGTTACACCGCTGCAGTTTTTCTCTACATGATGGCAACTGGATTCAGCCGAGAAACTTGAATAGTATTGGCTTTATTGATGGTCAAAAGCTTACATCAAAGCATTCAATAGTGACAAGGACCAGAGCGGATTTCAAGTCCGAAGAGCAAGACATAACGGGACCTAACCTGGGGTCACTAGCACCAACTGAGGGGAAAACTGAAGCTTTTATAGTTGAAGAACCCGAGCAAACTAAACCGTGGTGGGAGCAGATCCCAAAGCGCTTGGTCATGGTGCTCCTTTGCTTTGCTGCATTTCTGTTGTGCAACATGGATCGTGTAAGGCTCTTTGTATACCATACTTCTCTCAATGATCAATGTTTGCTTCCATGTATTATATTCCTGGAATGCTTTCCTTAAGTTTACGGGTAATGGCAAAGTTAATATTTGAAGTCAGGTGCTTGTGCATGTATTTTGTAGAACTAGATTACATGAGGAAAAAAAAATATAGATATTTATGATAATAGTTCGATGTTTTTTAGGTGAACATGAGCATAGCAATTCTCCCGATGTCAAAGGAATTCAACTGGAACAGTGCAACAGTTGGTCTAATTCAGTCCTCTTTCTTCTGGGGTTATCTGCTTACACAGGTTGCTTTCTATTGTTAATAAACACCGAAGCCTTTAAGGGCTTGAGTTTATGCTTCTCATTATAATGCTTTCAGCTGCCCTTCTAAACTATAGTTTATTATGCAAATTATTAAATGAAAATGTGATTGATACAGTTTGCCTTCTGTTTCATTGTGAATTCCTCTATTGCTTACTATATATTTAAAACCGCACCATCATTCCTTGTTGTTTGCTTCATTTTTCTGTCTTGGTGAAAGTTAGAGTTATGGAAGTGCCTTAAGTACAGTATGGTACTCCTTCAAACTATAAATTATTTTTGCTAGTGCAAAATAAAAGACAAGTCCACGGTCGTGTCATGGCAGTTGATACAATGACTCAATTGTATCATGTTATACAGTACGACAGTCACATGTTTACTTTAGATATACATAGCGTATATTGTTCATAGCTTATCCTTAAATTACCTACATAATTTAAAAAAATAAAAATAAAAATTGTGCATGTTGAGTTACAGCCTCTCTAGTTGCTTCAAGACATTTATCTCTTTTTGATATGGCTGAAGTTTCTTCCCATTGCATGGACATAGATTCTTGGAGGTATATGGGCTGATACAATAGGAGGGAAGCGTGTACTTGGTTTTGGAGTAGTTTGGTGGTCAGTTGCTACGGTTCTGACACCTATTGCTGCCAGAATCGGGCTACCTTTCTTACTGGTTGTCCGCGCCTTCATGGGAATTGGCGAGGTTAGCTGCTCACAGCCTTCCACATAGAATTTCTGTATGCTGCTTGAAATTTGTTGAAACAAACTGCAGATACCTATATTGCTTTCAGTAATTAGTCTATGTTTTGCTTATAGTATATCTTACCTTCTCAAAATCCTGATTGATAACTTCGAAATCATTGGTCGAAGTTCTGTGATTAATTTGACTCAACCGCTATCTTGAACTTCTGCTGGAGCAGACCAGGATGCAATTATTTAAGACCCCTCCTTTTTTTAATCATTGTGATTTCTTTGTTAATCAGGGTGTTGCTATGCCTGCTATGAACAATTTGTTATCAAAATGGATTCCCGTCTCTGAGAGAAGCAGATCTCTTGCTCTAGTGTACAGCGGGATGTATCTTGGATCAGTTACCGGTTTGGCCGTTTCACCCGTTATGATCCACAAATTCGGATGGCCATCTATTTTCTATGCATTTGGATCCCTTGGAAGTATCTGGTTTGCACTATGGTTGAGCAAAGTAAGGCCCACTTCTATTCTGCCTCAATTTCTGATGGGGGCTGATGTTTGAAAAACCAGAGAAAGAGCCATAGACTGGATATTATTATTTGTTTCTTTCAAAATTTGATATCGTTTAACTGCATGAATCGTGTTCTAATAATTTGAAACCTTTGAATTTTCACTACACTAGGCATATAGCTCGCCTAAAGACGATCCAACACTCAGTCCTGAGGAAAAAGAACTGATTCTGGGAGGCAGCATATCTAAAGAACCTGTTTCCAAAATCCCATGGAAAAAAATCCTATCAAAGGCGCCCGTCTGGGCCCTTATTATCTCCCATTTCTGCCATAATTGGGGAACTTTTATTCTTTTAACATGGATGCCTACTTATTACAACCAGGTACTCATATTCAATGAACATACATGATCTGTTAATTATCCAATTATTTTAGCGGTTTCTCCTTCTGTGATTTGGCTTACGCCCTACATAGGTTTTGAAGTTCAACCTCACGGAATCTGGACTATTCTGCGTGCTTCCATGGCTGACTATGGCCGTGTTTGCTAATATCGGTGGTTGGATTGCTGATTCTCTTGTGAGCAGAGGATTTTCTGTCACGTCAGTTCGTAAGGCAAGCAAATGATTTTCATTTTCCATTTACATGATAGTTTGTAATTGATCGCAAACAAATAATTTTCGAAAGAAATCTTTTGGCCGAAGTTTTTTACTTCCAAATCTTTTTTAATATAACTGGCAATAGAGCACTGGGATCCATTTTTCGAATCACTTGTTTTGAGACAGTGCTGATTATACCAAATAAAACCCTCAACTGCTTATTTTCTTAATTAATCCTCTTAAATTTCTGATTGTCACAGATAATGCAGTCAATTGGATTTTTAGGTCCAGCCTTTTTCTTGACGCAACTCAGTCATGTCAATACGCCTGCCTTAGCCGTGCTATGCATGGCATGCAGTCAGGTTCGGCACATATTCTTGTCATATTCTTTCCGTTTTTTATAATCTACTTCTAAATTCATGGCTTAGTACATTTTTTCCTGTGGGTATTGTGCAGGGACTGGATGCATTCTCACAATCAGGATTATACTCCAATCACCAAGATATCGGACCACGTTACTCTGTTAGTAGTAGTTTCAGTTTTTGCTTCGCGAGAAAGAAAAATTGTTATCGAATGTTCTTTCTGAAAACTTTTGATTTGCTAATTTTGATATCCTAATGTTGGTATCTGTTGCAGGGAGTACTGTTGGGTCTGTCAAATACTGCAGGTGTACTTGCTGGTGTCTTTGGCACTGCTGCTACTGGATACATACTCCAAGAAGGTACAACCTAACATATACTCCTTTTCTTCGGAAAATAAAAAAGACATGGATAAAAAACAGGCTACTTACAAAAGAACGTCAGCACTCTTTAAATTACCGACACCAAATTGATATTCGTTTATTTTTCGAGATGAACACTCAAGGGGGGTTTCTCTAAGGAAACATCAATAAGTGTCTTTGCAAATCTTGATTTGGGTCTATCAGCACTTTGATCAAATCTCAGGGTCCTTCTATTGTTCAGTGAATTTCACCTAACTGCTTACACGGGATTTTTAACAGTTGGATCAAACACTTGTCTCTACGGGTGTGTCAGTGTGTGTTTGATGGATAAAATCAGGTGTGGGCAATGCCCACACCAGTAGGATCAAACTTACCCTATAGTTCAATTCCCCATAAGATTATCCAATGTATATAGCTTGCCGCACGGGCACGAACGTTTGATTCTTGAATTGATATTCCTTCAGGTTCTTGGGACGACGTATTCAAAGTGGCTGTTGGTTTGTACATCATAGGCACATTAGTGTGGAATTTCTTTGCGACCGGGGAGAAAATTCTGGACTAGGTTATATAGAATTATATTACAAATAATTGTGCCATTTTTACGTTGAACTGGAAATTCTAAGGTCATGAAAGAAATCCTGTGATGAAGAAGTTGGATTCAATCAGATGCCATTAGTTTTCACTCCGTAGGATTTGAGGTTTCTTGGTGAACTAGCCTCAACTTGGTGTAATTTCAACCTTAAGTTTTACAAGTGATTAAGGGGGGGTTGAGTTTATAATTTATAAATCCCCAGTCAGACACAATTTACCGAAGTTTTCATTGCTTAATCCCCACATTATGTCAGTAAAACAGATAGTATTAATTTTGACACAGAATCATATGTTTCTGTAATTTTGATATTGTTGTTTGCACCAGACAAACTGCAGGTGTACCTTAAGGGGTCGGATGGTATTATGTATATTATATTTTAGTTCTACTTCTAGTCCAGTTTTAGGCTCTATGTTTTTGGGAATTTTTCTTTGTGCTACGCGATTTTAACTTGTTTACAACTCTACCATATCTATATTAATAATTGTGTCTGAAACACCTTATTTATCTATATTAATGCCTAAATCATTTACCATATCCTTTCAACCTCCATCCACTTTTTAATGGATTACTTAGGAGAGAGAAATGAAAATATGCATATAATAACTCATATAATTTCTTAATTCGTGCACCTTGTACGTTTTTAATAGAGAGAGATAAAAACATGTATTGTAATTCACGCAGGTGCCCCGTGAATAAATGTTGCGTTTATGTTAGTTTATATTCAGTATATGTTTCAATAAAAAACATATCTTCCATCATTTTTTTTTTAACTTTTATACATAAAAGTATATATATAGTTTATAAACATATTATAACATGTTATTTATATTCCCTATACCAAAAAATCTTCTAATATATTGAACATATATTCCCTATACACAAAATATACTAAACAATTTACAAAAAAATCTTCTAATATACTGAACATATATTCCCTGAGTAATGCTCCCTTGCCCACGGTGGACATCTTTTAATACGTCCACCGCTTATGTGGTAGGCGCACATTAGTGATATATTTTTTTGAAGATATTAACATCACCAATGTGTGCACGCTACATAAGCGGTGGACATATTAACATGTGTCCACCGTGAGTAGGTGAGCATTATCGTATATTCCCTATACACACCACATATATTGTATGTCTATACACGCAACATCCAACATATACTGCTGTAAACATATACCGTAGATATACTATACATATACTCCAAAATAAACCCAAAAAACAAAGGCTACAAAAAAATTCTTCATGAATAATAAATCCAACCAAATCAAATTACAATAACTTCATCTGCACCACCTCCTAGAAATTAACAAACTAATAATTAATCAACGGCAAGCTTCAGGAACATGTCCCCAGTGAGCTTCCAATCCGGCTAGGAAGGCCTCAACCTCCGGCGATTTGAGGTAGTCAATTTCTGGCGGATCCCTCTTCTCTGCCCGCACCTTCTTCTTCCTCGGCGTCGCTGGAATTCGGTACTTGGGATCGTCGGCACCATCCCCCAAGATCTGCAAAAACAAAAAATAAAACAGTAGTATACACATTATCATTAACAATAAACCAAAATAATATACTACAAAACATACTTGGAATCAATTTTCATTGTGCACTTACAGTTTTTTTTTGCTTTAGCATCTTTAACCTTTTTTCTGCTTGATCCCCCGTCATCTGATGAACACAAATGTAAATACATGATAATTAATATTAACAAATATATATATATATATATATATATATATATATATAT